ACAACTTACAGCCACTCAACATCATGACCTTCGTACTCTTGCTTCATTCTGCTTGGCTTGGGAAATGCATCACACTCACGTTTCAACTTGGCTTTGATTCTTTTGATTTGATTTTGCACCTTGCAGGGGGGCAGGGGACCAGAAACGCCATCAGAAAAGCATCCCGAATCCACTCAGAACGACAGACCCAAATCATTCGTCGAGTCACCACACCACCCTCCTGAACAAAGCAGCTGCTTCTTCTCTCGCAGATACACACCAAGGCTTAGATCGCAGAATATGGCAGACCCGTCAGCGACACCCTTCCCGCCGTTTCCGCCAGTGCCGATCGGCCCGGCGGTGTTTACTGGCTTTTGCTTTGATATTCTGCACGAGACCGTCGGTTCCAGCAACGTGATGATCTGGGACGTGGTGCTGCTGGTGCCCAACTGCTTGGTGCTCCTCTTCCTGCTGTCCCGCCTCAAAGTGTCTCGCGCAAGGCTACGATCAACGCAGTCGCTCATCATTTCAGCCTTTTACTATTTGGTACAAAGCTTTCTTTCCACCTCATCTCTCCCCAATCGTGACGTGTGGCTCTAGTTGCCCCGCCAGCTCGTTTTGACTCATCCTTTGGTTGATCTTCATGTTTTGTTTTGTTTTTGGTTGCTCTGCAGCAATGGGGCATCTGTCTCTTCTCGGTACTGCGCACAGGATTGCACATGGGATTGCCGAGCCAATCTACACTCAACGACGTGCTTTGGCTCATCATTCGCTTCCTCATTCTCTCACTCGAAGTGTCTGTGGTGGTGTTTGGCCTTGTGTTCGGGCACATTGTCAACTCGCGCCTGAGCATCAAGCTGACCCTGTTCTTCACCCTGCTCATTGCGCTGACTTACACGACCACGCAAGGCATTCTCGAGTTTACCCAAGCTTGGTCGACCTCGTCGGGCGCCGATCCCGAGCTCCACTGGAACATTTACGCGCACGGCGGCATGATTTTCCTCTTTTCCAGCTCTGTCTTTTTTTCGGTCGTGTACTTTCTTGTCGTTATGCTTCCCTTTACGCCTCTGCGAAACCGTTGGCCGATGCCAGGTGAGTTTATCTTGTGTTCGTGTCGTTGGTGAGCTGGTGTCGTTGTTGTTGTTGTTGATTGCGCTCACGTGGTGTTTTCGTTCCCCGTTCTTCCTCCATCATCAGCCAAAAAGTCCTTTTACGTTTACGCGTCCGTCTTGTGCCTGGTCAACACTATTCAGTCGATTGGTAGCTGCCTCGTCTTTTATCAGTACTTTGAGGGCTTCTGGTAAAGGACTTGTGTTGTTGTTTGTTTGTTTGTTTGCCAAATCAGTTGGAGCTTCTGTCCTTGTTGCTCACTGTCGCCTTCCCCCTTCCAGCCTGGTTGACATCTCCACCTTCCTCTACTTTTCCCTCTTCCCCGCCCTTGTGCACTTTATTTTTTTGCGAGACTTTTTCGCCGTGCGACAAACAGACAACATGTTCTACAACGAGGCGATCATCGACGACGCCGATTCGTACACCCCGGGCTACGGAGCCAACTATGTCACGGGCTACGCGGCGTACGGCAGCAGCAGCTACGCCAACGCCAGTACCAACAGCTATCCCGCATATCGCTACGATGCCTTGGATTCGAGGGAGCAAGTCTTTACCGGCATGAATTGAGTCAGAACGTTTCCCACCATCCCCCCTTCCCCCCTATGAAAACAAAAGAGAAAAAAAAATCCTGAAAAATGAAAAATTCCTGGTTGAATTTCTATTATCTGTGTTGTTTGAGAGCTTTCGAAACTGTAAAATACAAGAAATGGCACTGTTTGTTTGAGATCTGTGCCCCGCTTCCTTTCCAAAAACAAAGCAAAAAGCGTTTCGTGTCGTTTCCCGGGACAGGAAGCGTTTGTGAACACAGCGAGGCAAAAAAGAAAAAGAAAAAGAAAAAGAAAAAAAAAAAAAAACCTCCAAAGAAACAAAAAAATTGAATGCACCCAGCGTGAATCGAACACGCTACCTCGACATTACTAGTGTCGCGCTCTGCCAATTGAGCTATGGGAGCTAGTTGTGAATCTCTTGGGCAAGTGAGGATATGAATCGTGATTCACCGCTTGAAATTACAAAAAAAAAAACAGCAAAAAAGCAAAAAATAAAAAATATATGCTCCAAAGCAGAATCGAACTACCGACCTTATCATTACGAGTGACACGCTCTACCAGCTGAGCTATTGGAGCACTGTGTTCTTGAGTGGGGCAAAGTGAATACATTCAGAGACACGAGATCACGGAAAAGTATTGAATGACAAGAAATTGCGAAAGCGGGTCCTGGGAATGGCATCGAGGCGGGTATGTTCAAGGCCACATCACACGAGACACTGAAACATCCAACCTCCGATTGCCTTGTGTGTGGACGCACTCTTGTTTTCCTCGCCTTTTCCGACAATCCAATGCTGTCCAACATCACTCGCACCCGTCTTGTAAAGTTTCGTTTGTTTGCGGCTCCTCCCCCAATCTCCAGACCGACTGCGTTCAACTTGAGAGTGTGCCTTATGTTGGATATTTGGATGCGTGAGCCGGCAAAGTAGATTCGGATCATGATCCTAATCCAAAAAAAAAAAAAAGGAAAAAAAAAAAAAGAGCGAGATCGATAGAGATCTCCGTTCCTGGAGCGCTCCGTTTGCCCGTGCATCCCCCTCCCACCAAGCATTGCATCCACTCGTTCTGCTCCCGATATTGCGGCGATTGGATGGGGGAAGTGGTCTACGCAACAGCCGCGCCGCAAACGTGTATTCTCATTTGATTGTCGTGCTTGGCTTGGCTTTTGGATTGTTCAGGCTTCGGCTACGACGGCGGCCGTGCGCATGCATGCCCAGCCCGTGCGCCACCTCAACCTGCACGAGTACCAAAGCAAGGAGCTGCTCGCTGCGGCCGGCGTCACCACCCAGCGCTTCAAGGTCGCCAAGACCCCCGCCGAAGCCAAGGACATTGCTCAGTGGCTCAAATCCAACTGTACGTGACCAACCAACAAAAAAAAAAAAAAAAAAAAAATCATGGACCCACAAAGTGCTTGCTCAAGCCAAGTGGCCAAGTGGTCCCATTCGAAAGCAAGCAAGCATGAATGCATCATCATTCCGCGATCGTATTATAGGGATTTGTATCGCTTGTACTGATCGATTGTCGTGCGTTTTTTTTTTTTTTTTTTGTTTTTTTGTTTCGTTTCATTTCGTTTCGCTGCAGCCGTCCACGAGTTTGTCATCAAGGCTCAGATCCACGCCGGCGGCCGTGGCAAGGGCACTTTCAGCTCTGGATTCAAGGGTGGTGTGCAACTGACCAAGGAGTGCGTAATTGTCTTGTTTTTTTGGGGGTGGATTTGTGGTGTTTTTCTTTTTTGTGTCAACCACCCCGCTCATCTCACATTCTTTTTGTGCTTTTTTTCATTGTTATTGTTTTATTATTATTATTATTATTATTATTTTTGCTGCTGCTGTTCGACAGCCCCAACGTTGTCGGCGATCTCGCCAGCAAGATGATTGGCTACAACCTGGTCACCAAGCAGACCCCGCCCGCTGGTGTCCCCGTCAACAAGCTGATGGTGGCCGAGGCGCTTGATATTGCCTCTGAAAAGTACTTTGCGATCGTGCTCGACCGCGAGAGCCAGGGCCCCGTCCTTGTCGCCTCGCCCCAGGGCGGCGTCGACATTGAGGAGGTTGCCGCCAAGACCCCCGAGCTCATCTTCAAGGAGCCCGTCAAGATTGCGGTCGGCGTCACCTCCGAGCAGGCCCTCCGTCTTGCCAAGAACCTCGGCTTCACTGGTGCCAAGGCTACCAGCGCCGCAGACCAAATCCGCCGTCTGTACGACCTGTTCATCAAGAACGACGCCAGCCAGGTCGAAATCAACCCCATGGGCGAGACCCCCGACGGCCGTGTCGTCTGCTTTGACGCCAAGGTCAACATTGACGACAATGCCGAGTTCCGACAGAAGGTGAGAGAGGGAGACAAAGAGTGGCGGCAACAGAAACAGAGAGCGAGACAGACAGAGAAACAGAGAATCAGAGAAACAGAGAGACTGATGGAGGTGCTCATCCCCCCCCCTACTTTCAACTAGACTCTCTTTGAGCAACGCGACACCACCGAGGACGACCCTCGCGAGGTTGAGGCCACCAAGGCTGGCTTGAACTATGTCGGCATGGAGGGCAACATTGGCTGCTTGGTCAACGGCGCTGGTCTTGCCATGGCGACCATGGACATCATCAAGCTGTTCGGCGGCCAGCCTGCCAACTTCCTCGACGTTGGCGGCAGCGTCAAGGAGGCACAGGTCGCCCAGGCTTTCAAGATTATCACCTCGGATCCCCAAGTCAAGGCTCTGCTGGTCAACATTTTCGGCGGCATTGTTAACTGCGCAACCATTGCCAACGGCATTGTTGCTGCTTGCAAGACCACCAACCTTTCCCTTCCCCTTGTCGTCCGTCTTGAGGGCACCAACGTCGACAACGCCAAGAAGATCCTGAAGGAGTCTGGCCTTCCCATCATCACTGCCGAGAATCTTAACGATGCTGCCCAAAAGGCAGTCGCTGCGCTCAAGAAGTAGGGTGCTTCCTCTTGGCGTCACTTGAAACAATTTGAGTTTTCTAAAATACAGATTATTTTCCTTTTTTTTTTTTTTCAATAGTCATTTGAGGCCTGCTTTGTTTTGTTCGTTTATTGGTTTTTTGTTAAAACAGTCGATACTATGAAAAAAAAAAAAAATGATTAACGATATAAATAGTTTGAGTGCTTGAAAGCCCCATCAAGAAATGAAGAACGAGTCAAGTACTACATGCGCAAGAAATCCCCGGCGTCCGCAACCGCGGAATCTCGCATCACCAAGCAGCACTCGCCAGAAGCGGCGCTCTTCAAAGCAACCCCGTTTGGACGAATCGACATCCATGCTTGGGTCACGCGGGCCGGCAGTGCTACGCCAGACACATCAAAGTAGCACAGCCGGGCATCGTTTGTGGCAAGCGCGCAACAAATGTCGGTGGCGAGATTTGCGTCGTTGCTGGACGACTCGTGCCCATAAACCACGTTGCCAGAAAACGAATTGCCGGCGAGCAGCAGTGCACGATCGTGTTCGGCGCGATACGAAGCTCCGATATTCATTCCAAGCGTCTCCACTTTGTTGTCGAGCAGAAATTGAAGTCCCACGCGCAAATCGGCATCCAGCGCCGGGCCAAAGCTGGACGAAGCCATCAGCTCTGCGGTGGCTGCTCCTGATTGGTACTGTGCGGGTTGGCTGTACATGTCGTCCCAAGTTCCAGCTTGGGCGGCAAAGCGAGCAGCAGATGTGGCAGGATTGGCGGTAAAGTGCCCATCCGCCCCCGTTTGGCTATAGTATACCGCAAGCAAGGCGCACGTTTCCTGCTCGTCAAGCTGGCAATGAGCCAGATCGGCGACCGCCAACGTTGGATGCCAAGCGAGTGCGAGCCCAAGCGCAGCAGCCACAGATGAGGGTCTGTCAGGGCCCGTGTAGGTGCGTGCAGTCAAGCCAGTCATCAGAGGATTGCCACGAAGTCGGACCGTTTCAAGCGTGGCGTTGTGGGCCAGACCGACGGCCAGAGCGAGCGTACCGGTGACTGATATTTCGCAACGGTACAGATTGAGGCAGCGTAACACGTTCGCATGGCCAATCGTGCTGTCGAGCACGTCAAGCCGAGGAGGCGAGAGAAAGAACAGGCCTGAAAAGCGTGCCAGAACATCGTCGGCGACCGCAATTCCAGACACATTCAACGAGTCCAGTCTTGAGACGAGGGCGTCAGGCATAGCAAGGGCGTTCAACGGACTTGTGTTTCCCACAGCAGCAGCAGCAGCAGCAGCAGCAGCAGCAAATTCCTCGGCGACACCCGACGGCCGTCCAAGCTTCCATGCAGGGCTGGAAAATGCCAACGAGAGTTGGGTGATGCTGCTTGGGCCGATGGCGGACCAAATCTGCTCCACATCATTGGGTAGCCGGAAAGAATTGTGCGCCATCGAAAGCGCACACAGCCGGTTGGCGGCTTTCAGTCCAGAGAGGAACTCGTCCGTGCGGAATGTGAGGCTGCTCAATTTGCACCCGTCCAACGCCAGCTCGACAAGTTGCTTGGCGTGGAGCAGAAAAGTGCCGAGCGCGACGGCACACGCATCGCCAATCGCGTTGAAGGAAAGGTTGAGCGTTTGCAGTTTGCTCATTGCAATCTCCGACGATACCTGCGAGGCTTGCGGCACGGTTGCGATTGGTGCGCCGGACAGCGCCTGCAGGATGGCACGGCAGCCAGACGCTGTGAAGGCGTTCGAAGACAAGTTCAGCTCGGTCAGATTGGCCAGGGCAGGGAGCGCACCTGCCAGAGTTCGAGCGCAGTCATTGTCCAGAGCATTTTCGGACAGGTCAAGCACAAGCAAGGACGAGTGCTGCTCCAAACATGAAAACACGGTCGTCGCTAGTCTCCCGAAAAGACCGACACCCGACAACAGGAGCACGCGCGTCTCGTCCGCTTCACTGAGCAAGCTCAGCAAGCGAGAGGACGTCAAGCCCCGTCGAGCCCCGCCTTCGTCGCCGTCAACCGCCTTGCCGGACTCTGCATTGACAACAACCATGCCAAAGTCGTCACGAGCCTGCAGATGAATCGTCTCGAGTACAGACACCAAGTACTCTGTTGCATCTCGATTCCACGACCCAATGACGGCCGTGACGTTCTGGTTGCCGGCAAGCACGTTGACAAGCAAATCATCCTCAAACATGATGGCGCCATCGCTGGTCTTGAGGTGGGCAAAGCGCGGTTCCGCGCCGTACTGCCGGGCGTAGCGAATTTCTGCTTCGCGCATCAGCCACGACATTGTTGTTGTTGGCAGGGTGACTGGGCACGGGATGAGTAGCAGGTGACCTGAAGGTTCGACACGAAGGCGCACGCGCATGATGCTGTTGCCAGCCTGCCAAACATCTTCACGAGCGGTGGCGGCAGGTAGCTGTTGCAGCTGGGTCGAGAAGGAGTCGCCAGAGCTGAGACCGTGAGCATTGTCCGTTTGCAAAGGTTCAGTCCGTGGCAACCAGTTTGGTGTGGCAACATAATCATTGTCGTCGCCATAATAGCCGTAGTCAGCATCGGCATCAGCATCAATGATGGACGAGCTGGCGTGGTGCGACTGACCCATCGTGGACAACTCTTCGTTCTCGTCGTCGTCGTCCTCCAAGTGCAGTGGATTGTGGCGACTCGTACCAGCAGCGCTACGCGAGACGACCTCGCGATCAGAGTCATCCGACCCTACATCATCATCGTGATCGTCTTCATCGTCAAAATGGAAGCCAGCGGCGGCAGCGGCATGAACGCCCGTGTCCGAGTCACCACCCGCCTCGCGGGCATGGTCTGCGTGGTATCGGGTGTGTCTCTTGCCATGCGGCGAGGATGCTCCGCTGCTCGCGGGTCGTTTGGTGCGACCGGCCACGGCGTGACCCTTGTCTCGAGCCACACGACTGCTGGCTGAGGCGAGCGAGCGTCGTTGTCGCGACACACCACTTCCCGCATTCTGATGGCGACGGGGCGATCGGATGCCTGCCGCGCGGGGTACTCGACGTGTGGACGACGCGGAGTAGTAGTCACGCGATGCACGCTGCTGGCGCGATAAGGCATGGCCGCGCTTGCCGTTCTCATCATCCACAATAAAGCCGTCAATTAATTCAAAGTCCTCGTCCGCGTCTGTCATCTCCACAAGGCCGCTCGTGGCGGAAGATTGCCGTGGTGGGCGAGCGTCAGCAGCTTCTTCGTCATCGCTGTTGAAGGGTTCGCGTGCACGCAGTTTGGTGCTGGCGCTGGTGGTGGTGGTGGTGCTGGCGGAGGTTGTCGTCGTGGTGGTTGGGCGGCGGGTGCGAGTACGCAGTGCATCGTCACTGCCAGACTCTGCTTCAGACGAAGAACTTTCAACATGATGGGTGGATGCCACGACGGTAGCTGCATCGTCTTGATCGTACTGTGCATCATCTTGGTCGGCGGAGGCGCCCCGAGCACTTCCCGACACGCTGGAGTTTGCATCAGTGCTGGCTGAAGGTGCGGCCAGCCGTCGTCGACCGTCACGGTGAAGAATCGCTTTGAGGGCCGACCGAACTTCAGGCGTGGCAACATCGTACACGGTAAGACCACGGTCGTCGCGAATGGTCGCGTCGGCCTCGTAGCTGAGAAGCAATAGCACAACGTCCTCATGCCCGTTGATGGCGGCATCGTGCATTGCAGTCACACCGCCCAAACCGCGCGTATTGACCATCGCTCGGTGGCGCAACAGCTCCCTGACCACCTCGAGATGGCCATGGTTGCTCGCCTCATGCAACGGCGACCAGCCAGCATAGTCTTTGACGTTCACATTGGCTCCGCTGACCAACAGGGCCCGAACAGCGTCGGCGTTGCCAGCAATGGCGGCGCGATGCAAGGGCGTTTCGCCCTTTTCGTTGCGCGTTGCCGCCGTGTTGTTCTTCCGAGCAGCGGTGCGTCGTTTGCTGCCGCTGGCAGTAGTAGGTTGCGCGACGGGCGCGCCTTCGTCGCCAATCATTCGGTTGTACTCGGCATTGTCAGCATCCGAGTCGACCTCGTCATTGTCCGAGGAAAGCTCAATCTCGGTCGCGTCGTCATCGTCGTCGTCGTCATTCTCGCCTTCATCCGAGTCGTTTCTTTCGCTGTCGTTGTCACCGCTGTCCTCGGGGTGGTCTGGCTGCACCTTCCGCGGCGGCCGACCAGCGCGCACCTGGGTATAGTCCGGCATGTCGGCGTGCCAGTCCGACCAGCTGTAGGGCAAGCAGGTATCGAGAAGCGATTCGAGCGACACTTCTTCTTCGACGCCGCTGCTGCTGCTAGTGCTAGTGCTGGGGACAGGGCCGCTCCCGGACTCCATCGGCGATGATGTAGCCGCAGATTTCAAGCGTCGCATGTCTGAAAGACATGCTGAAAGTTCCTCATGAACGGCAAGCAGCGCTTGTTGGAAGGATTTCGAGCGTGCTTCCATGGTAGACAAGAAGACCGACAACGAAGACGACGAGAATGCTGCTGCTGCAGTCGATGCCGTTTCAGAAAACGCTCGACGCAAGCCGCGCAGGGACGACAGGCGGCAGGCAAACTGCAGCACGCACTCGCGATGCGCCAGTTTGGATTTCAGGTACTGCAACAACACATGCTGCAAGGACTGGTACACTGAATTGAGGGGCGAGCTTCGAGGCAGCCCGTCCCGACCCGCCATCAACGCTTCAAGCGTCGAGAGCAACGACGACGCCGATTGGTTGAGAAGCGACTGGGCGCGCTCGGCAGCGTCGAGTGACGCGTGCAGCTGCAGCTCAATGTTCGGCTGCGAACTCGGCGGATGGAGGGCTCCTCCCGTTGCCGTGCCAGCCGAGTCTGGCACGAGGACACTGCGTAGCTCGTTCCTTGTCGCTTTCGCAAAGTGGAAGAGGGCGGTCGCGTGCGCCTCCGTCAGAGCGGCCTCGAACTGCGCGTGATTGAATTTCCGGCGCAGCGCAGGAGACAGGGCAGCTACATCTGTGCCAACTCGCCCGAGCGTAAACCGGGCCGATTCAAGCATTGGAGGATTTGCTTCAAAATTCTGCGCAACGAGCTCCTGGATGTGCGTGTAGATTTCGGATTCTCGCTCAAACAGCCGCGCAGCGTCACGAAACTCTCGCGCGTCCTCCAGACACATTGCAGCAGAGGAGTACAGCGCGGCTAGTCGTCGTTGGTAGGCCAATACAGGCAACATGGGGAATGACGTGGCGTTTCCCGCAACAACATGACTGGTGGTGGTTGGGTGGTCGCGTCCGCCGCTGGACGGCGCACTGCCTACGAGCAGCACCTCGTCCACATCATCCACGACGTGCATGTGCGATGTGGATGATGACACCTCACTCAAAGGGAATGCTTGATCGCCTGAAGCATTCTCCTGGTTGGCGAAGGCATCCGGATGGTCCTCCAACAGTCGGATGGCGCGTTGATAATGGGGAAGGGCAACCAAAGGGGCAAGCATTTCGCAATAACCAT